CAGCACAGTGCGTCGCAAGATGACGCCGGAAAACGGGTACTGCAAGCCAACCAGTTTGCGGTGCTCCCCGAAGAAAATGGCGATGGTGACGTCGTTCCCATCGCTGCAAGAGAGCGGATTCCCCCGCTTTTCACGCCGGAGAAGGATGTTGCCAAGCTTCGTGCCGTACTGGCAAAACACAAGCTGCTGCCTCGCTTCAAGCTTTGCAGTATCGGCACCAAAATCATGTGCTCCAGCCTGGAGGAGTACAATCAAACAGGATGTTTCCTAAAGGAAAACAACGTTGACTTCTTCACGCACGATCTGCCATCGAGCAAGCCACTGAAGCTGGTATTGCGTGGATTACCGTCGTTCGAGGCGGCTGTGGTTAAATCCGAGCTGGAGCGGCTTGGGCTCAAACCTGAGGCGGTGTTCCCAATAAACCGGCGTTCCAACCACAACACCAGCTTCCGTGACCAGTTGTTCCTGGTGCACTTCACGATGGGATCCACCAGTCTAGCGGCTCTGAGATCCAAAATCCGGGACCTGTTTCAGGTCATCATCAGTTGGGAGCATTACAAATCCCAACATCGTGATGTTACGCAGTGTATGAACTGCCTCTCCTACGGCCATGGCACCAAAAACTGCCATATGAAGACTATCTGCGGCAAGAGTGCTGGAACACACTCGACTGCGTCCTGTGAGCAAGATGATGACATCGAGCCAACGTGTGTCAACTGCGGTGAAAACCACCAAGCCTCCAATCGTGGATGTCCCAAGCGAGTGGAGTTCATCAATATCCGTCGGAAGTCTGCGATCAATAATCAGCCCGGTCGCCTCCGTAATCATCGTTCGCCTCCTGCACGCACGGAAGTCCAGTACCCAGCTCTCCAGCCCCGTCGACATGTTCCGAACTTAGTCCCACTTCCGCTCAACAACCAACAAGTCAAGCATGTGAGTATTCCTAACAATCAAACAGTCCAGCATCGTTTCGCAGCTGCTGCTGCCCAGCCAATGCCAGGTCCCTCCACCGCCCCTGGTTTATCATACGCTGGTGCTGTCTCAGGTGAGCCTGTCGACGATTCTCCGTTCACCTCGGAGGAACTTGTGACGCTCGTGGCCGAGGTTATCATCATCTTGCGCACCTGCAAGACTCGATCTGAACAGCTACATACTGCCCTGTCCCTTGTCACTAAGTATGGACCGTGAAGCCATCAAGATCGTAAATTGGAACGCTTGCTCCTTGAAGAGCAAAAACATCGAGTTTGTTGAGTTTCTCAATGAACGAAACATCGACATTGCCATCATAACTGAAACCCACCTGAAGCCTGAAACAAACGTCTACCTTCCCGATTTCCGGCTCGTGAGGCTAGATCGAACCAACTCTGGAGGAGGAGGAGTGGCTATTGCACTAAGGAGAAACATCTGCTGTCGACTGATGCCCAACTTTCAGCTGAAGATCATCGAAGCCGTAGGGGTGGAAGTTTCTACTCCTATCGGCCCCATCACCATCGTCGCGGCTTACTGCCCCAAACAAGTCAACATCAGGGACGGATCGGCAGCAGATCTGCGACGAGATATTATCAAGCTAACACGACGATGGAAAAACTTTATCATCGCTGGCGACCTGAACGCCAAACATCAAGCTTGGGGCAACAATCGGCGCAATCAAAACGGCACCATCCTGAACAACTACCTGCAGGAAGCGCAGTACAACATCTTGAGTCCGGAAACTCCCACCCGGTTGAGTCGGTCCGGTGTTCACGCTACCATCGATATCTTCATCAGCAACATGGGCAACAACATCGCTCAACCTATCACCTATCAGGAACTCAGCTCGAACCACTACCCGGTGGTGGCCGAAGTTGGATCCTCGGTAAACCGATTTGAAGCTTCCCGGCGCAACTACCATCGAGTCAACTGGGCGCAATATCAACACTGCGTCGACACAACCATCGACTACGATGTCCATCCGGGGACGTCGGTAGATGTTGACCGGTGTCTACAAACCATCCAGGAGGCGATTTCCCGGGCCAGGGAACAACACGTGCCAGTATCCAGACAGGTGAGTAACACTCTGAACCTTGACAGCCCTACCAAAGATCTCATTAGACTCTGTAACACCATTCGTAGGCAGTACCAGCACAGACAAACAGACATAACACTCGCAAGTTGTTCATCGAACAAGCATTTAACGGTCAATTCAAAAGTATCGTAGTTGGTAGTACCAGCACCTGTGGCGCGCATAGTCAATTCCCTTGCGTTTGACGTTTACACACTACCGCCATCTGTTCAGCGTACTACCCACCACAGTGTACTCAACAGATGGCGGTAATGTTTTAGCGACGATGTTTACATTGAGAAATATTCAATGTGTTATGTCTGTTTGTCTGTGGTACCAGCGTACTGGCATGCCTAACTTGAAGACCAATTGTAATCGATTAACAAAGATCATTCAGGCCAGGTTGGTGGATCTCAGAAATAACGATTTTGCTAGTAAGATCCGCTCTCTCCCAGATTGTGCTAAGCCCTTCTGGAAACTTACAAAAATTCTTAAAAACAAGCCTAGGCCCATTCCCCCCGTCCCGGCGATCCAGTGGTTTATCTGATAACTCCTGAAGAGAAGGCTGCCGCGATAGGTCAACACTTCGTCAGCTCCCATAATCTCGGACAAAACATCGTCAGCCCTCATGAATCCGAGGTTGCTGAAAATGCAATCAATCTTCTTCAGATTCCTAACATTTTTCCAGAGGAATCCGAGATTGCGGCTGACGAACTGTTGGCCTATATCAAATCATCTACAAACATGAAGGCCCCAGGTTTCGACAACATCCTGAATCTGGAACTCAAACACTTGAGTTCCAGATTCTACAACCATCTGGCACTGATTTTTAATCAGTGCCTCAGACTTGGCTACTTCCCCTCGTGTTGGAAGTCAGCTAAAGTCATACCCATCCGGAAAGCTGGGAAGGATCCGTCCTCTCCTTCAAGTTATCGACCAATCCGCTTTTTCTCAGGGTTATCAAAACTGTTCGAAAGAGCACTGTTCCACCGGCTCCTAACATCTGCCGATGAAAACAACGTGTTACTCGAGGAACAGTTTGGTTTTCGGTAAGGTCGTTCGACCGTCCACCAGCTGACTCGAGTAACAAACATTCTCAGACGGAACAAGTCTGTTTCGAAAACATCTGCCATGGCGTTGTTGGACGTTGAAAAAGCATTCGACAATGTCTGGCATGATGGCCTGGTGTTCAAATTGCAGCAGTACGGTCTTCCAATCTTCCTAGTGAAGATCATAAACAACTATCTATCAGACAGGACGTTCCGAGTCTCTCTGAATGGCATCTCATCGGATGCTTTCAACATCGGTGCCGGGTTCCACGAGGAAGCATTCTTGGCCCCATCCTACTCAACCTGTTCACCTCCGATATGCCGGCTCTCCCTGATTGTGGATCGTTGTCTCTGTTCGCAGATGACACATCCATCGTCTACAAGGGTAGGGTCTTCGGAGCTCTGACTGCCAAACTTCAGAGAGGCCTGGACGTCCTGTCTGAATATTTCAACAGCTGGAAGATCCGTATCAACGCGGCAAAGACCCACGTCATTATCTTTCCACACTCTAAATCTCCTAGACTTGTTCCGTCGGAGAATAACAAGATCTGCCTGAACGGCACAGTGGTGGAATGGTCCAAAGAGGTCGTGTACCTCGGGCTAACACTAGACAGCAAGCTTCTTTTCAGGGAGCACGTTGACAAAACAAAAACCAAGTGCAACATCTTGATAAGATAGTTGTATCCACTTATCAACAGGAAGTCAACCCTGTCCCTGAAAAATAAGCTTGCTGTCTACAAACAAATCATCCTTCCAGTAATCGAGTACGGTATGCCAATCTGGGAGAGTTGCGCAAAATGCCATCACCTTAAACTCCAAAGGATCCAGAACAAGATCCTTAGGATGGTCCTAAGCAGTCCCCCGCGGACTAGAAATTCTGAGATCCACTTCCTGGCTGGAATTCAAACATTAGAAGAACGGAGAGTATTCATCCTGGAAAGGTTCAGAGACACCTGTCTGAGATCAAATCATCAGATCATACGCGATCCAGCACGTTAGGTTAAGTTATACTCGTAGTTAGGTAGGTTATCACTTTTTTTCAATTCAAATAAAACACATCCCCAAAGGGATATTCTGTAAACTAGTTGAAAAACGCAAATATTTAATTAGAATATCAAATTAAACAAAGATGAAGAGCCAAGTAGGCTAATCAATTAAAATGATAAATCAATGTACTACCATAATCAACAGAAATAAACATAATTTTACTACTACTACTAGTCCGTCGCTGTTGCATTTTTCTTTCTTCGATATCATGTAATTCACGGGGCGGGTATATTCACCCCTATTCTGCATTTCGTTTCGAACGAAATTCTCATACAAAAAAATATTTTTTTGTATGAGAATTTCGTTTGAAACGAAATACAGCATAGGGGTGATTGTCCGGTAGTGCGGTTAGTGGTGACCTGTGTCACTGTGCGCTGGGATTCTCACAAACATTGTAATGCATGTTGAATCCAGATGGATCCTCGACCACGACTTCTCCTTCGGTAGGCTTGACAACACTCCAACTTCCTTAGAGGATCAAGATCAGTCGCATCGCAAATGCCCGGCCCTTCAACTTTTCTGTAGTCGGCATCGCCACGGAACCCGTCGTAACTCGAATGCTTCCTGCTCTTATGTCTGCCGCTATCTCCAGTTAAAGACATCTTGAAAATGTCTCTGAACTTATCTTCTCGTTAGGTCCTCGGCCTATAACCTCTTGCTTCAGGTTTGAAGTAACAAAGTGTAATGGACATTTATTTTCTAGTTATTGCAGTTATGGATTCCGAAAGAAAAATAAGAGAGAAAATGACGAATTCAAAGTAGAGGGTACATCTTATGGGGAACGGAGAGCACATATTTCAGAATTCGGTATGAAAGTACCAATATTGGTATCTAAGAATTCGCAATTTAAAAGCCAAATGGTGTTACTTCACACTATGAGCACTTCATGTGCAGATTTTGTTTTATTGGTTAATCATTTAAAATTTTCCATAGTTTTGCACTTAAACAACGCCATCTAGAAGTTTTACATTCATGTTAGTGCTATTCCTACAATTGTATATGGTTATAGTCAACTATTCTACTGGATAGTTGCATTCTGATCTGATAGTACAGTTAGAAACTGGAACTTCAATTGGGATTGAATTCTCTTTTTATCATAACGTTGTCGATATCAAAGAAAAATTAACGAATGCAGTTGAAGAAATGAAAAATTCAAAAACGATTTCCGCGAATAATTTCAATTTGAGTTAATTTTTTGATTGAAGATGAAATGTATAATAAAAATAAATTTATAAATTATAACTTACGCTCTGTTGCTTTCAACTTAGACTATTCTACAAATTCACGAATGGTACTCACTACCACTTATACACCTTCTTTTCCACAGTGTTGCACATTGCCTTTCTTATCGTACGCAGCTCTTTTATTCTATAATACAATAGTGTAGATCATTTTCAAAGCTGTCCGATTTCCACCGTTTACCACTTTCCTTTCTTCTTCCCATAATCTGTTTCATCTCATAATGATACGCTCCACTGAATACTTGTTACTATCACCTGAGACAACCAAATTCACCTGCTGCTGTTCAAACTTCTTTAAACTTTCCAACGTCTTTAAGATCTTCATAGCCCAGTTACCCAAATGCCCCATAGAACTATAAACACAAAGATTCCTCTTCCTCCATGGGGGAATCGCTTCGACACTTCCTCGGAACATTCCAACAATCAACATTTGTAGTCGGTACTTCACTCGACCGGAACAGAATTTAAAAAACTCTTCGACGGTCTACCGTGCAGCACTCGACGAACAACGACAAACAACACTACCCGAAGTACTCTTGCATGTGCAAATGTATTTATCGTTCGCGCAATCACGTAACCGCCGTGGTGGAGGATACGATCGCGTTTCCACTATAACCGGCGAGGCGCCGTTTCGCGATCGCTTTCTTCACGTACGCCGTAATCAGGTTCTGGACCTTCACCGGGTTGATTTCACCCGAGCGACTGTGGCAGATCTGGAAAGGGAAAAAAAGACAGGAGAAAGGGTGTGAATACCTACGACATGGATTTGGACGTGGGGCATTTTATGATGGCGTTAAAAACATGTGATTTATATGCAGTAAACGCAGTCGGTAAAGGCGCAAGATTCTCGACTTCTCTGACCAAGAAAGCTCTCAATTAACAACTGTGACAGTGCTAAAAGAACACTGACTTGGGAACCGGTGTAAAACTCCAGTGGGAACGTAATAAAGCTATAGAAGCAACAGATAGATTCTGGCTTGAAGAGGAAAAGCCGATCATCGAACCTAAGTATCGTCACGCTCCGTATAGAACGGGAGTAAGTTGCCGAAATGTCCAAGAATATCTGTACTATACTGAGGCAAAAAAAGTCTTAAAAAATCCATAAGTCATGACTTATGAACCTGAATTCCGTAAGCACGACTTATGGATTTTGATGCGTTTGAACTCGCAAAGCCCTAATAAAATTGTTATGGTCAATTTGCTTCGGGGTATCATCCCAACCATTTGTGGAATAGTTCAATCATGTTGCTTATCTTTCGTTTATGGTAATTTTATATTAGGGAGCCCTAGCCTTCTTGATTTGTGCACCTATGTCGCTCTTGGTCCCGTCGTCTGAAGCCATCGGGCTGCCAAGACATTGGAAACTCTCGACTCCACTGCTTGTCCTACTACCGTAAACTAGGAAAGGTTGCCGACATCCAACGATTTCCCTTTTCTACGTTGATGGTGAGACCCACCGCGAGAAGCGTTCTTCCAGGTAGTCGACGACATACATATTAGAAAGCCACTGTGCCAGCGTGATCTGCATCTAGTGATGTCAAAGGTTCAACGGCTTCCTACATGGTCTAGAAAGGGAGCGTTGCTAAACGATACACCATTGAGCCATGGAAAGAGTAGCCATCGAGGAACGTTGAGCTAGCAGTCGATATAACTGTTAAAAGCACAATCTGTAAATCTTCGAATTCATCCACTGGAGCGAAGATTGGTTATAACCTGTTATAACCTCCGAACTAGAGAGGGTCTAGTATAGGAAGGGAGCGGTTTCAAAACAAACTGCCTTGGCAACCTATGCCTGGGTGGTTTCTAGCGATTCTCGATTGGCTCAGGCTTTGACAGTTCGTTTTGCTCAAAACCATCCAGTCCGCTCCTCTCCTATACTAGACCCTCTCTACTCCGAACTACTTCTTCGGTGACATGGACATTTGAGGAGGTAGCAGTAACAGACTTAAAGCTCGAAAGTGAGGATTGAAGCTGAAGAGCTCAGGCAACAGTAGTCGACATGAGTTGAGATGTGAACGAACCACCAGAAAGATCTGCCAAAACCTCCGTTTAGGTCAGGAAAAGTAACTGTTAGGTAGGCTAAATTACGCCACAAAGATTAGGAATTATCTAAATCTCTGCCTTTTCGGAGATCGCTTGATCAGTTGAGCATAATACAGAACACAAATGGAGCCAGATAGCTGTAGGAAGGTAACTATAAGTTTTTCAAAAGTAACGTAAGAATATAGCGAACAAATTTAGCCGAAATAAGTGAATCCAACATTTCTCCTACTTCGTATCAAGTGGTCCAAAAATGATAACCAAAAAACCAACAACAAAACTATTCATCATATATCACCTTCGGGACGGACTTCTTCATGATGTCCTTGTACTCGTCTTTGTTGATGCGCTTCTTGTTGAAATGTGGCTTGAGGAAGTGCTTGACTTCCTCGATGATTCGCTCCTGGCGCTGAAGCTTCTGAATTAGCTGCAATACGAAATAAAAGTTTCGTTATTGACAACGACGACGACGACGACTGAGAAAACCAGTCTCAAACTTACCTTTTCTTTGATCTGGAGGTCAACCGCCGAGTTTGGCATGTCATCCAGCATTTCCATCGTTACTCGTTGCGCTGTAAGGGCAAACAAAATGAACGCATTAAAATCGACCTACGCACCATTAGAAATGGATCTTCCAGAACTTACGTTTGTACATTTCGTCTACCAGCAAAACAGCCTCGTTAGGCCTCCTCAGGTCCCCGTACAGTGTCTTTTTGTCATTACCAAACACCTTCCTCAGATTGTCTACCGTGAGGGCTATGGTCTTGGTTTGCTGCTGTCCGCCGCCATTGGCCGAGCCACCCTCCGGAGGTGGGTCGAACATGTGGTCATCGCAGTCGCTCGATCGTGGCGAATACGGTGAAATATCACCATCGTCCATGTCTTCGCCAAAAGGCTGGGCACTCATTGTCCCTCCAGGTACCATAGCACCGGAAGTGATTGTTGCCGGAGCCGTGTTGTGATTCGATTTCTTCATCGGCGATGGCCGGTGAGTTTTGAACGGCGAGTGTCGATAGTGCCCCCTTGGTGACAGTTGATCCATCGGAGACGACGGATGAAGGTCCAGAACACCATCGTCGTAGTGATCTCCGACAACACTGTTGAGATCTACCGAAGTCTGTGAGACCGTCATTAGTGGATCCTTCGGTTGGCGTTGGTGCGAATGATGATGGTGGAGCTGATGATGATGCTCCGGATAACTGACTGTAGATATGCTGCCCAAATTGTGACCCGAAGCTGGTGACATAGTTGGCGATTTTGTCGGTTCGAATGGATCGTACGACTCCGGTGATTTGGGTGCAGGTTCTGGAGGAGTATTTGGTCCGACCAGATCATTGGAGGGTTTATTCTTCTTCTTGTTACCACCTTCCTCATCGCTAAGAACGATGACTTCCTTAGGACTGGATATGAGCTGCTTGCCTGGAGATCGTTCCAAGTCAATAATTGCCACGGGTTTCACGTTCTCGTCTACTTTACGCTTCTTTCGTTGACTCGAAGATGGGTACTGTAAAAAGGGAACATGATTGTTTTGGAAACATTTTGATCTCAAACAAACTCACCTCCAACGACGCGTCGTGCTTCTTGCGTTCATCTTTGTGTTTGCTTTCTCCCTTGGACTTCTTCCGGTTGGATTTCTTCTTCTTGGACTTCCGGTAGGCGCGTTCCGCTGCAGCCGCATCCTCCTGGTCGCCATCGGCAAAGCTTACGCTCACCAGAATGTTCTTGCCCGAAGAGAAGATTTCCTTCGACTGAGCAACCTCATGCTCCGGCGGACAGATCCGTTCTTCCAGAATTTCCTTCTTACGTTTCTTCTCCTTCTTTCGCAGCTTCCGCTCCTTGTCCTTTTTCTTTTTGTCTTTCTTTCTCTTCTTCCGCTTCACTACTTCCTCCAGGACCTCTTCTTCTTCCTCCTCCTCTTCTTCAATTTCCTCATCCTCTTCACTGGTAAGTTCATCATAGTCTGGACTTGCATACGCATCGCTGTCCCCTACGTCGGCAAAGAAACTGCTTCCGGAACTGATATCGCTCAGTGCCACACTGAGACTACGATCCCGCCGTTTGGTTCGCCGTCGTTCCGCGACCGGACTACGCACCCGTTCCCGCGATACTCGTGCCGGCACTTCCTTTTCTACCGAAGGACTTTGTGCAATTAGCTCGTTTGACGATCTGTGCCGATGGACCGGATACCGTTCCCGTTCAGCCAGGTGCGACGATTGCTGTTCGTGGCGGTGGGGGCGATGTTGTTGATGTGGGTAATGGTGCGATTGAGTATGAAATTCATCAGTGGTCCGATGGTGGTGCGGATGACGACCGGCAGCCGGATGGTCGTAATGGTCTGGATGAGCGTGCTGCTGTGGTCGATAGGGGTGCTCAAAACTTGGGCGTCTCTGGCGTCCGAATCGACTCGGTGAACCGCTAGGACCACCACGAAAGCGACCATTCTGCCCCCTTCGAACTCCACCGTAATCCGGGCGACCGCGTGAAAACCGTGTCATACGCATTGCTGTGGATCGTTGTACGGAAGTTACCACTTTTCCCGGTTAATTCCCGTCGTGGTAAAACGATTTTTCGCGGATGTTTTTGTTTTGAAATGGCTGTTCACACAAAATTTGCTGCGCTTCGCTTTTGCACTTACTGAAGATTTTTTCGTTGCTTCTTGATGTTGTTTTTATTTAACTTTTTGACACATCGTTTCACGGCCATGGTTTCTCCGATACCGTGCAGGTTGTCATAGTGAGGAAATATTTCATGAAAGCAGGAATTCTAGAGTTTGTTCTTCTCACAAAAATTCCAATAAGAATGAGCCTATGAAAAATGGTTTCTGCGCTTATTGGCCATCAGATTGTGCTGCTGTTGCTTGTGGCGACATCTGTCGGAAAGTACGCATAAACTGCTTTCCGTTAGTTGTTAACAGAGGACAGTGCTGTCAACAATCCTGGAAATCTCTTTCACAGATTACAAAATATAGTGTCTGACACTGCAAAACATGTCTGGTACGAGAAAAAACCTTATGCCACATTGGGGTTACCCCCTCCTACCCCCCTAAAATGGTGCAAGATGGTTTTCAAAGTGATAATAAGATGACAAATCATTGCTGTCCTGAAATGAAATGATTATATCAGCCATAACATTTGATAACGGCACAAAAGCATTTGTAAACAAACTTTCTAAGGCCCTTTACACGCGAACCAAAGTACGCCCACGCAAACCAATACCACTTTCTGAAAGGTGATAGTTGCTCCTATCCGATGATGTTGTTGGTTTGCGTGTGCGTACTTTGGTTCGCGTGTAAAGGGCCTTAGAAAGTTTGTTTACAAATGTTTTTGTGCCGTTATCAAATGGTATGCCTGCATGCTCGGTAATGGCGGCTTGTTTGTATAAATAAATGTATCCTTTAATCTGATTTGTTGGCGTAGAGGAATTTAGAGTGTATTTAAAGTAATGAAAGCAGTAATGACAAGATTTTAAATATTTGGTCAGTAGGCTGTGTAGTATTGAAAGACTAGTGCGTGCCCCTCGGATACCAACCGGTGAGCACTCGTGTTTATTTCAGTTACCGTGGGACGTAATTTGTGATTAGTCCCGGTCCCTTTCAAATTGTATCATTATTTATGTATGGTCCTTATATTTGAAATGACGTTTCACATTCATCTAGTGATGGCCGATTTTCATTCAAATAATCGATTAATCGATTAAGGAACCGAAAAGTAAAATATTTGTAATCGGTTATAAATATCATGCCGATACACGCAACAAATAATTAACGATAATTTATGTAACAACAAATAATTTAACAAAATTGAAAATAATTTAAATCTAAAATTTTGTGACTAATTAAAGTATTTATTAAAATTAAGAGTGTATTCAAAGTATTTGATGCAGTAATAGCACAGACAAACAGACACAACACTCGCAAGTTGTTCATCGAACAAGCATTTAACGGTCAATTTTAAAGTATCGTAGTTGGTAGTATCGCCACCTGTGGCGCGTATAGTAATTTCCCTTGAGTTTGACGTTTACACACTACCGCCATCTGTTCAGCGTACTACCCACCACAGTGTACTCAACAGATGGCTGTAATGTTTTAGCGACGATGTTTTACAGTGAGAAATATTCAATGTGTTATGTCTGTTTGTCTGTGGTAATAGCAAGATTTCAAATATGTTTTCAGCAGGCTGTGTAGTATTGAAAGACTAGTGCGTGTCCCTCGACACGCACAGTCATCGCTTACGTATGTTCCGTCCGGCTGGCCGAAACAACAGGGATAGGATATTGCCAATCCTAGCTAACACCCCCGCTCAATATCCAGAGTCCGCCAACCCCATGTTGGCTCGATGCTTCCGGAACAAACTTACCGGCAAGCCCTGTGTCATTATATCAGCCATTTGCTCACCAGTCGGGACGTAACGAACAGCAATACGCCCCGCTGAATCTGCTCACGTACGAATCGATGCTTAACATCGACATGCTTTAGGCGGCCAGTATCCCGCTCATCCTCAACCACACTTATCGTCGACATGTTGTCCTCAAAATACGCAACTGGACTCTCCGATTCCCTTGACTTGTCCTTCAGTAAGCGAACCAGCCAAACTTCGTGACACACAGCTGTGCAAAGTGCCACCAGCTCAGCTTCCGTTGACGACAAGGAGATCGTCGACTGTTTTCTCGTAAGCCAGCTCACAGTACTGCCAACAATCAATACGAAACTAACAATTTTAAATTGGCTCACCACTTTAGTAGCCTATTGGTCCCAAGCAAACGATTAACGTACCCTATTCTAGTCGAAATTCTAGTACTACGCAATGTTTGTTTTGATTCGCTATGAAAGTTTGACAGATAAAATGAGGGGTTATTGGTTTTTCCTATGTTTCGAGGGGTGATTCGACAGCTTGGGACCGAAGATAGTACCAGAGGTGAGCCAAAAAGTTGAGCACGTTTCTTCGGGACCTACTTGTCTTAGAGTTACCTCTATGGTACTGCCGCACACACGAAAGACGTATCCGCGTCAGCAAACGCTTCTATCAACGATGTACCATCCTTCGTCTGAAACACCAGCCCTAGGTCAGGCGTTCCCTTTATGTAGCGTAGCACCAACAATCAATACGAAACTTACGATTTTAAATTGGCTCACTACTTGACTAGCCTATTGGTCCCAAGCAAACGATTAACGTAACCCATTCTAGTCAAAATTCTAGTACTACACAATGTTTGTTTTGATTCGCTATGAAAGTTTTACAATGATAAAATGAGGGGTTAGCTAGGGGGTTAGTGGATTTTGCTATGTTTCGAGGGGGAATCGATTAGCTTGGGACCGAAAATAGTACCAGAGCTGAGCCAAAAAGCTGAGCTCGTTTCTTCGGGTCCTTCCTGTCTTAGAGTTACCTCTATGGTAGCACTCTCTTAGCGTGAACCCAGTGCTGTTCCGTTGGACAGCTTTGAAATTGGCTTAGGTAGCTGACCGCCGCACACAAGTCTGATCTGGATGTCAGCGTTACGTACGTCAGACAGCCGATGAGCTCCCTATACGAGGGGGGCGACTCTATCTACGATGCAGGAAAAATTGTGTTTTGCTGTGGTTAGCTGCACGCACACTGAGTAGATAGAAGGAAGATTGATGACGATTCTGAAGATTTCCTGCAAAAAGATGATGTGCGATGTAAGTAGATGCGAGAAATGATTGAAGATTTTTCGAAGATTTAGATGTGTCGCCCCCCTCGGTGAAGACTGCTTTTCTGAACGGTCGATTGGAGGAAGTAATATACATGACCCAACCTGAGGGATTTGAAGAGGGGGGAAGGATTTGGTGTGCCGACTCAACCGATCTCTGTACGGCCTAAAGCAGGCCTCGAGAGCCTGGAATGCGAGATTCCATTCGTTCGTTGAGAGGATCGGTTTTAACAGGTGTTCCAGCGATTCGTGTCTCTACGTGAAGGGTACCGGAGAAGATCAGGTGATTATCGTGCTGTACGTCGACGACCTACTTATAGTCGGTCGCAAGCTAAGGGCTGTGGAGACAGTGAAGCGTTACCTGGATGCGAGATGACGGACGTCGGATGTACTACCCGAGGGTGGATTCTGTTTATGTGTTGACACATGGAAATCATGAGGAATTTTACCTGGAAATTCTCCAATAAAAATGTGTTGAATTTTATGAGTGTTTCAATACCGGACTTTGGCCTAATTTTGCCTTTTCTATTAGCTAGGATTCCAATGACCCTTCAAAGGATAAATTTGTGTTTTTTTAGACATTTTTAGCTCTCTCAGATCTGGGATTTTTCGGTTATTTTGTAAATTTATTCATTTGTTCTACTCGGATGTGGAGAGGTTTACAAGCTAAAATGACAAACATTTGTAACGTTTAAATATGAAATCATATCCTTCCTTATGGATAAACAGAGAGAAAAAAGTAGAAGGGTCTGTGCCTAGGGGCACGAACTGGAGCTTGACGTTGGACCGCTAGGGCACGGAACAAGTGTGAAAAAAATTTAGTTGTTTTAATTGATCGATCATCTATCATGTTAACTCTTTCCGTTTTTGATTTGTAGGCGTACCAAATTTGTAGTATTTTATTTTCAAAGAGAAAGTTGATGAAGAGAATCGATCAAAATCACTTGCACCCCTGCTTTCAAGTTTGGTTACAAGATTACAACTCTGGAGAGCATTTTGTGTGGTCGTTGGGGGCATCTGAATATGGACAAACAGGCAGATAAATTCTATTCCTACTCTTTACTGTAATAAGCTTGGTGGTCCTGAGAAGGGCCGTTTTGTTGCCAAAGTTGGCGATGATTTAACCTCCGAAACCGTACAGAGTGCGTCTGTCGTTCATGGACGCTTACGCTTGGCGTGTTCAGTGTAGGTGGCAGCATCACGGATCTCATTTTCCAAGAACACCTCGCAGATCAGACCGGAGACGTTTGACACCGCCACGGCGAACCAGACGACTGCTTTCGCTGCTTCTGCTGTCTGCTCACCACGGCGTCCGAAGCAAAAATGAGTTGATTTTAGACAGCAGCGTTGTTTTATATCTTTTCAGATTAAAGCAGAATGATGTGTAACCAAGTGGTACTTGACTATGACGACTGCGTTTGGAAACAACGTTTATTTCATGAAAACAGTGAAAAAATTATCACTTTTTATTTGTACTTTTTCAATAGTTTCATGTTGAAAATCATCAAATGTAAGCATTATGTAGACATATTTCTGATCGATTGGTGATAACATTATTGAAATTGATCCAGGGGCAGCTGAGTTATTAATGTTCAAAATCTTTCATAATTTTGTTTCATGTTCCATTTTCGGTTTTCACAAAGTCTAGAAATTAAAGACGTAGTCCTACGTCAAAACTTATCGGCTACGTACTAGGTACTACGGATAGGACGCATGGGCATGTTTAACTTAACTTGAAACGCATTATCGTTCCTGGATACCAAGTAAACGAGCGATCATTCATTTTTCTCTGCTTTTAATTTCATTTTCTTGAATCTGGTATCAACAACAGCAACTTGTGCAACTCTGTGGATTAGCTTATGGCTTTTTTTGCCTCGTGGTAACAGCTCAACACACCGAGCAACACACTTAGAAATTATCGCCGACTTCGGTAATTTTTACCGAGATCTGAACAGCTGAACTTTTCGGTTAAATTCAATTCGACAGAGAGCATGCATAAGGGCCTATACGCGATGATCTCTCTCGTCGATTTTCTCTTTCGTTAATAACTCGCTAGATTTAACATTTCTCGGTGCGTTTGCTGTTGCTTTTGATAGCCAATACAACCTGTTACTACTCTGCATTGAACAAATTCTAGAAAATTGTTTCGCTTAGCTGTAGCAATGCAAAGAGAAAATCGATGAAGAGAATCGATCATCGCGTATTCGCCCTTATGCATGCTCACTGTCGAATTGCTTTTCAGCTACTTTGAAACTAAACCTCCGCTAAAATGACACGACTTGATTATTCAAACAAGGTTGAACATGTTTTGATATTATTTTAAAATTCAATGGCCTTTAAAATGAAGGTCAAAGTTTGACCGAACGTTCAGCTGTTCTGATTTCGGTAAAATTTACCGAACACGGAAACAAAATCTTAGTGTGAAAGAGAATCGATCAACGAAGATAGGCCATTTTCACAATCTCACCGGAATAATTATTTCGATTTCATTTCTGAAATATTTTGTAGCATTTAAAATAAAATTTACTTTTATGTCAGTGTCGATCGGAGGAAAGCTATCAAAACAAACAATTCCTATCCTTGTCACTCTAACGGTATTGTGTGCGGGCGATGAAGCTTGAGCATAAAAGTATAAAAGTTACTGTCAAAATCGCCAAAATCCATCGCACGAAAAATAACAAGAAGCTCCACCATCAAGAAAAAGAAAAATACATAAACGTCACAAAAGAAGAGTCAGACAACGACAAGAGAAGAGGACATCGTCAGTCCAAAATCCAGCATCGCCGAGTCAGACACCCGTCGTCGTTTGAGCGAAAAAAAAAGCAAAAGTGGACAACCGTGATCTAGATTATTATTGTTCTTGCATTTGGCCGTGAATGTGGTCCCGTTGGTTTAGATTATTGTGATGTGAACACTGTGCAAGCCACGGAGGATTCTCCAGAAACGGAAGAAAAGCATCGGGAGTGAGCGAAAAAAAAGACGGGAAAATGTTTAGTGGAGGAAGAGCTGAAGCGAAATTGGTTCGCTGATCTTTTTTTTTTTTTTATCTTCGACGTCGTGCTGAGAAGTGAAAAGCTGCTGTCTGGAAGATTTTTTTTTATTTATTACTGGTTTGCCAGGGGCGGAGGGGGTGTACTGTGTGAAGGAAGATACAAAAGATAGTGATTAAAAGTGGAAGGCTCCTGTTGGTGGAACGTTCACGGAAAATGTTCCACAATTCAACACCGAAATCCAAGTACCGTAGAAAATGTCCGATGCTGGTGGGGAATGTTTGGATACGTCTTTCGCTTGGCCTGATTCTGATCCAGTTTTGCGTGCTGGCCCTGGCAGGCGGAAGCAACTCGGGAATCAGCATAGGGGGCACCTCGACGGTCGGAAAATGTTCCGAGATCAAGTGCATGAACGGAGGCAGCTGCAAGAATGGAACCTGCGTATGTCCGGATGGCTGGCAGGGCTCGGAGTGTCAGTTTTGCGGAGGAAAAGTTAGGTAAGGGTGGTTTAAGTTTTTTTTTTCCTCACTCTCTTTTCCATTCCGTCAGGGGGGAAGTGTTTTCAAAACCTGTTCCTGCTGGTGTGGGCTCTGACAGAGGTCTTCAGGTGTCGTTGGCCCACTTTGTGGTAGGGAAAAGTGCGTCTTTGGAAAATGAAGATTCGATAGCAAATCTAGGATGAGTCGGAAAAGCTTTTGTTGAATTTTATTCGCTTCATGACAGCTGTTTGATCATCGTATATTGACTTCGTTTTTCGTTCTGCGCCCCCTTGTTTGTCTTTTTGCTTGGGGACAGTGTTGCCGTTCGGAATTTTACAAAGCTTCATGCAAAACTGGTATTTGCGCTGCAATCTACGATTTATGATTTGTAGTTTATTGCGAACATGCAAGTCAGGATTTGTCCGCATAGTGCTTTGCAATGACCTCAAGGTCTTGATGGTCTTTCAGGGGTATTTTTGGGAGGGCAGTTCGAAGAAGACCAAAGGATAAGTTGGAGAACTTCATAAGGAAAGTACAACAAAGAGTCCTGTACTTTCTCTAAAAGTGCTTTGTATTTTGCTTGCTGAAACCCGAAGGATTTTTCCATATTTACTTGTTATACTGTTAAGGTGTTTCCTTGCAGAGTCCTTTTTCCTATTATACCTCGCAATTTTGGCAAATATGGATCAATTTTGATTAATATCCAGAACTAGCTGATCTATAACATCTACAGGAACATGTAAAAGGTCATCTGTACCATATGTAAACAATGGCTTCAAACGTCGGTTTCTCACGAATCAACACGTCCTCGATGCCACTGGTTAAACATTTACTTAATTTTAGTAAGTCTAAGATTGAATGTCTTTAAGTTTCGTATTCCATGTACAAGTTCAAGATATTGAAAATTTTCAAAGGACCAGAATTAAGGGAAAACAATTGAATGATTTATTTCAAGTTTGTAATTAACTTAATAAAAGATAAGAGATCTCCAGGTAAGTCCCATTAAGTTCACAACAATTGTATGAACTTTATAGAAGATCTGAGGAATGAAAGGAAATGCTGAGAATTTCAGTGAAGCTTCATAAGCAAACTGCGGGAACATAAGGGAAGTGAACATCCTGAAAATATGGGAAACATACTAGAAGCTTTAAAAACCTCAAAGCGGTTCTATTTGCTTCCCAAAAAACTGCAGAAACTTTTAAGAAGTTCCTACAATTTCAGTGAACTTCACATGCGACAAGAGAACTTCAGAAATATAGATAACTTGAGGAAAATTGTGGAAACTTTTAAGAAGCTCTAAGTACATCAGAAAAGCTAAATCTAGAGATGTTTGGGGGAATTTCAGAGATCTTAAAGACAATAGCATTAGTTCAGACTTTTGGTGCTGTTTAAAGATCTATAACCGTGAGTTTAGAAACATTCAAGATAGTTCCATAATGTGCTGAAAAAAATGGAGAAGCCTTAAGATCTTCCGAGAATTTCAGGGAAGTACAGAGACCTTCAGAGAATTTATGAAAACTTCTGAAATTTCAGGAACTTCACAGAAGTCCAGAGAATAACAGAGAGGTGTTTACGAAAATACCATTTATTTCAGAGCAGAACCGAGATCTTCAATAGAATTGAGTTTCGAGAATCTCAGGGAATTTCCGGATACTTCAGCAAAGCTCGGAGAGAATTTCTGGATCGCAATACAAATTATATAAACATCCGGAAAATGTGAGAGCAAATTTGATGATCTCCATTAATTAAAACATTGCAAGAATTTTTAGCAAGCACCGATATCTTCAAGAAATTCCAGAGAATTTCTAGATAGTTTCTTGATATTTAAAGATCTTCCATTGCACTTCATGGACGATCAGATAACTTCTCATTAACTTATGGAAATTTGCAGCGACTTACAAGGAGTTCCGTGGAATTATGGGATACTCCGAGAATTCTATGGTTAGTCAGAAAACTTGAGAAGCGCCAGGGAATTATGAATATATATCAGACAATTTAGAGACCTTCAGATAAACATAGAAAACTTTCGCGACGTCCAGATAATTTCAGGAAAAATTAGTGATTTAAGGTTAAGTTCCGTGAGCGTTTATAAAGCTTATAAAACTCAAGGAAAATTGTGGAATCTTCAAGGCAATTCAATTAGTGTCAGTGAAATTACGGGTTCTTATAAAAAATACAAACAATTCAGAGCAGTCTATCGAACATTAAGGAAATTCATAAATCTTTCGGGCAATTTTAATATCATCAGGAAAGCCTAGGCTATTGAAGAAGTTATGAATTAGTGTTGATAGTTTATGGGAAATTCCATGAACTTCAGTGAAAATCATAGAGCTATATTAATTATTTCGTTTTGATTCCAAGAAAATTGTGGGAGCTTAAAGAAGTTCCAGAAGTACTTCAAAAACTTCACAGAAATGCAAAGATCTTCAGAAACATTTCAAGAACTTCATAGAAGTTTATGGCACTTAAGGGATGGTCCGAGAACATCAGGAACTTTCAAAAACATTTGCAAAATACGGGTGCATTTCAAAGGCGTTTTGTATGCTCCATAAATAGGGGGAATTTCAGGAGGAGTTCAGTTGCATTATTTAAAAAAAATGGCGGAAAATTTTGACAAGTTCCCAAATTTTCAGAGAATTTCAGAGATGTTACGAAAATTATTGAGGTCTTCACATAAGTTCAGAAGTTCGCGGAAGCTTAATCATTTTTAGAACAGTTTTATTAAATTCATGCTTCATGAGAACTGCATAAACTTTAGAGAAGTTTCGAGAATTTCAGAAAAGAACAGAGAACCTTCGAGCAGTTCCGTTAACATTAGATAATTTACCTGAATTCTAAAGAAGTTTCGAAACGAAAACGAATTGTTAACACTTTAGAGAAGATCCAGGATGGTTAGGAAAATTGAGGAAACTTTAGTTAAAAATTTGATTAGACGTATTATCAGGCTAGTTTCTCAAACTACAAAACAACTTCAAGGTAGTTTTATTAACTTCAGCAAAGTTTTGGGAGCTTTCAAGCAGTTTTGAATACCTCGGAAAAGTCCATTCTATATTCAACGGAGACTTCTCATGAAGATTCACTTGGAGTTCTTCTCAGCATTCGCTTTACATTCTCCCGAAACTCTCATGGAATTATCCTAGACATTCTCTTGGACCGCTTATCTGAATTCCCTAATTTCACCGGAATATACTTAGAAACCCTCCCGCCATTCCATTGAAATATTCCTCAACAATTCATTGTTACTATCCTCCAAATTAAATTTTATTTGAATTTTCCTCTGAATTACCTTGAAATTCTCCTCAGTACGAAATTCTCAGAATTTTAATTGAATTCATTTGGGGCTGTTCATAAACTACGTAGACAGTTTAGGGGGGGGGGGAGGTTGGCAATCCTCCACGGCCCATACGAATTCAATTTTTTTGTATGGACAATTGTCTACGCAGTGGTAGGGGGGGGGGGGTCAAGAATCCCAAAAAACTGTCTACGTAGTTAATGAACAGCCCCTTCGAGATTTTCTTTTGAATATCACTCCTCCCTTGGAATTCAACTCGCATTGAAAGTCTCCTAAGAATTCATTTGCATTTTTCCTCATCATTTCTAGATAGAGCTGGAATTAGGGCGTAACAGCTTTTGTAAACAATGACTTCTATCGATGATTTCAAGGAATTCAAGGCACGTCCATGCAGACCAACCTAACCATCGGATAGTGGAAGTCTTTCCCTACCCGATGAGGATGTTGGTTTGCGTGGGTGAGCCTTGAATATCTAGAAATCATCAAGAGAAGTCATTGTTTACAAAAGCTGTTAGGTCCTAATTCCAGCTCTATCTAGATTTGTTTGGCAACTTCTCTTGGAATTCTTTTCCGAATTCTTTTGAAGATCTCATGACAAAAAATCTAGAAACGAGCTAGTTGAGTTTCTTGTCTCCTATGTAATGTTTCGTCGAGAAGTGATGAAATCCTCTCCTCCCGAACGGCTGCCACTCTGCTGCTTATGCATGATGATATTTCGGTTGCATACATGTAGGAGTAAACCGTGCATTATTATTGGAGGAAGTATACATTTAGGATGAATTAAGAGGGAATTATGAAGATAATTCCAGAGGAGTTTTAGAAGTATCCATAGTAAATACTGATGAGAGTTTATTTCAGGAGAATTTTTTGAAGACTTGAAGACTTCCAAGACAGCGAACCCAATTTAGAATTTTAAGATAATTGCAGTGTTAATCAAAGATCCTTCTTAGTGGCACCGGTGGTGTAGTGGTAAGCGTGATTGGCTCTCACCTAAAAGGAGTTCCGTGGAATTATGGGATACTCCGAGAATTCCATGGTTATTCAGAAAACTTGAGAAGCGCCAGGGAATTATGAATATAAATCAGACAATTTGAAGGAACATTAAACAAATTTAGAGACCTTCAGGTAAACATACAAAACTTTCGCGACGTCCAGATAATTTCAGGAAAAACTAAGTTCCGTGAGCGTTTATAAAGCTTATACAACTTAAGGAAAATTGTTGAAACTTTAATGAAATACAATTAATGTCAGTAAAATTACGGGCTCTTATAAAAAATACTAAAAATTCAGGGCAGTCTATCGAATATTAAGGAAATTCATAAATGTTTTGGGCAATTTTAATATCATCAGGAAAGTCTAGGCTATTGAAGAAGTTATGAATTAGTGTTGATAGTTTATGGGCAATTCCATGAAATTCGGAAAAATCTTGAAAACTTCAGTGGAAATCATAGAGCTATATAAATAATTACCTTACCTTACCGACGTTTTCTCCACTCTTCTTTTTGATTCCATTTGAATTTCTCTAGAATAGAATAAACTGAAGTACACCAGATATCCTTCGCAGGATTTTTTTTTTATATTTAATTATACACTGGAGTCTTTTTTACGCGGTTTTTTTTCACACGGTTTTTACGCGGATTTCGGAATTTACGCGGTTTTTTACGCGGATTCCGGAATTTCATCATCACCCGCGTAAAAAGCGACTCCAGTGTACAACCAACTTTAT